GCCCACCTATAAATATGCAGATTTTTTTAAATAGGGTCCCCCTGTCCTCACACGCAGACAAAATGACAAGAAAAACGAAATTTACGGCGTGCGAGGTGGAAGTGCTGGTGGCGGAGGTGGAGGAGCGACAGCGTGTTTTGTTTGGCAGCCTGTCCAGTGGCGTCAGTGCAAAACGAAAACGCTTGGAGTTGGAGAAAGTTTGCGAGAGGGTAAATGCAGTGGGTTCCGAGACACGCACCCCCGCGTAGATTAAAAAAAAGTGGTTGGACCTCAAGGTGGAGGTCAAACGGCGTACAGCTGCCCTCCGGAGGAGTACTGGCCAGACAGGTGGGGGTCTGGGAGAGGGGAGCCTCATGCCGTTTGAGCAGCGGGTGGTGGCGATTATGGGGGGTGCCTCTGTGGGGGGGATTGTCGCCGCTACCCGCAGTGACTCAGACAGCCTGCCGGAGGATAAGTGGCGTGTCACACAAATGTCCACATGCTTTGCCATAGATGTAAACACAAAAGATACACAGAAGCAGGAATTGAAATGAACCAATACTTTAATTGTGTCACAGAAATCAATGCGTCGGCCGTGTCGCCGGCTTGCGGAACCCCGGCCCGCGGCTCGGAGTCGTCGGCCAGGACCAGTGGCATTCGGGCCACCCCTGCCCCGGCCCCAGCACCAGCGCGCCGACAAGCGGCTGAGCATCCACCAGCCGCAGTGCTTCCGCTGGACCACCCCGACGCAGTGGAAGGGTCCTCACGAAGGCAGTCCTGCAATGGCAGGAAGAAATCATCAGGGGGATCGCGGGGATCAATGAGCGGCTGGACCGGCTCGTAAATGTCCTTGAGCGTCTGGTGGAGAAAATAAATTAATTTGGCTCATTGAACTGTGTATTCACTTCTTACCCATTCACATTGTGGCGATGAGATTCTCCCACGCGAGGACAGCGGCCCGGCAGGGATCAGCTCACATCCTTCTGTCTGCTGCTGGTTCGTCATGTGGGGCGACGTGCTGTTCGGCCACGGGGATGTGGTGCAGGTCCACTGCGATGTGTGAACGCTTGTCACATAGTGAGTCACCAAACACCGCCACACAGTGTCGCTAAAGTGTCGTCAAAGCAAGTATCGGCTCAACGCCAACTTCTACACCACCTCCTCACTTTGCGTGGATTTGCGCTGGAACCGACGCTCGTGTCACGATGATAAATCTGGACGTTTGCGCCGATCTTGGCGAACGCAAGGTTTTCTGGCCCCAGCGTTGATACATAAGGACCCAGCTCAGCTGGACTAAAACCGAGCGACCTGTGTGGTTTCATGGATAGCAAACAGCAGCAGTGGTAACCCCTCATCCCACTCCCTGTTGGACTCAACACAATATTTACGCAGCATGGATTTAAGCATTTGATGGAACTGCTCCAGTGCGCCCTGGCTCTGTGGATGATATGCACTGGAGACGTTGTGCTTAATGGACAACTCGGACATAACCTGCGCAAATACCTTTGACATAAAGTTGGAGCCTTGGTCGGTTTGGATGCGCTTTGGCAACCCAAAGGTGGAGAAAAATGTAACCAGGGCTTTAACCACAGCTTTGGCTCTAAGTGAGCGTAATGGAATGGCCTCTGTAAAATGAGTGGCAGTGCACATTATGGTGAGCAGGTATTGGTAACCGGACTTGGTTTTTGGCAGTGGCCCTACGCAGTCTATGATTACATGTTCGAATGGTTGAGAGATCACTGGGATTGGATGTAAGGGGGCCAGAGGAATAACCTGGTTTGGTTTTCCAGTCATCTGGCAGACATGACAGGAACGGCAGTACTTTGCAACATCTGATTTTAACCCCGGAAAAAAAAAATAACGGAGGATCCGATTGTATGTTTTTTTAACCCCTAAGTGACCGGACAAAACATGATCATGGGCGAAACTCATTATCTGCTGGCGAAACTCTCTTGGCACAACCACCTGCGTAATTGCATCACACTCAACACTATCCAATGGGGACCATCTCCCCATCAAAACGCCATCATCAAACAGGTAAGACACAAGTTTTGTTTTTCTTTATTTTGTGCCGCCGGGACAATCTTGGGGATCTCTGTTTATTTTCAACACGAGCTGGTGGATCGCGGCGCACAGAGGACATAAACAGACTTTTATAAGTGAGCGCAAACTCATCAGACAGGACTGCAGCCTCAGCCAGAGACGCAACCTTGTGTTAATTCAGATAGGTGACCATGCGCTCAGGAAGACACTTTTTAAAATCCTCCAGCAGCACCAGCTCATGCAGCTTGGCAAAGTCATTAACTTTACTAGACTGACACCACTTATCAAAAAGAGCCCCTTTATCTCAAGCGAACTCTACATAGGTCTGGTTTTCACTTTTAACACATGATCTAAATTTTTGCCGTAGGCACAAGTTCATAGGCTCTCAGAACAGTAGCTTTAACACTGTCATAATTTAAGCTCTGCTTAATTGTGAGGCTGGCACAAAACTCCTGGGCTTTACCCACCAATTTGCACTGTAGTAACAGGGACCAAACATCCTTTGGCCAATTAAGAGCAGCTGCTATCCTTTCAAAAGCACTAAAGTATGAGTCCACCTAAGACTCTCTGAAGGACGGAACAAGAGCAATGTCTGCTCACATCAAACCTGCTTGCAGATGAGTGTGGGGCTTGTTGACTGGGTTGGCTGGTTGTGCTAGGCAGGCTAGTTTACCATGTTTAAGTAATGGGTTTTATTTTTTGGCAAACAGTTCAGAAAATGACCTTGTTACTAAGATTCCAAGGTATTGGAGACAATTTGTGACCTTCCTAAAGGGAGGGAGACCATGCAGGAGAATGCCAGTAGCAGGATTAACGGGTATGTAATCACTTTTTCCCAAATTAAGTTTGTAACCAAAGTACTTTCCAAATTTCTCAAAAATATCTCAAATTAAAGGGAGACTGGAGGCAGGGTTGGATACATTAAAAGATCATCAGCATAAAAAGAATTTTTGTGAAGCTGCCCATGGCGTGTGATACCCTAGAACCCATTCTCATTCCTCAACTCAATTGCCAGGGGTTCGACTGCCAAAAGCAACAATAGTGAGGAAAGGGAACACCCCTGTCAAGTGCTTCTGTGCACTTGTCAGGGCTGAGGCCAAATTTATCAAGAAAGTAAAAAATGCTTTCTCTGCTTCTGCCTCAAGTTCGTAAGTCAGTAGAGAGATAGTACAGAATTTTGAGTAGCCTATGTGTGTTTGAAGATAAATGCCTTCCTAAAATGAAGCCAGTCTGGTCAGGGTTGACTAGGGACAATATGACTATTTGGAGACGGCCAGCTAGAACTTTCACTAGTATTTTAAAATCTACATTCAGAAGGGAAATTGGCCTATAACTACTACAGAGCAGCGGATCTTTGTCCTGTTTTAATAACAGTGTAATTGAAGACCTTTAACCCGAGCATCATTGAAAACCTTAACTAGTCTCAGGGCAAGAATTGCGGAATAGGTCTAGAATTCAGTGGTAAAACCATCAGGTCCTGGCGATTTGTTACACTGTAAAGAACTTATTGCATTCTTAACCAAAGAGATCGTGAGTGGTGCGCCTAGTTCAGCAGCAACCACTGAGTCGATGTGAGGGTACGTGAGCAGGTCAAGGGGGTTTGGGCCATCCAAGTGACATGGAGAGGTTTCAGAGGAGTACAGTTTAGAGTAATAGTCAACAAATGCATCGTTAATAGCAGTAGGATTGGATGTGGTATTATCAGAAGCTAAACTAATCCTAGGTATAGGTCTGGATGGAACCTCAGTTAGTGCTTGGTATAGTAGGAGTTTGCCTGCTTTGTGAGTAAGAGTTTCCACTGGAAAAGTATTCCTTAGCTTTTAATACTGATGAAAGTAGGATATTTTCCCCATTGCTCGCAGTGATATACAGCTTTGCCGGGTAGCAGAGACTGGGTTTCAGCCCATGTTTGTAGAGGAGGGCCATAACTTCTAGGTATGCAGCCAGTTGTGCCATCACCTCGGGGGAGAAGTCCTTAAGGATAGCCATAGGTTTCCCAAGATATTGCAGGTCAGACCTCCTCCTGCGGGCTTCACAGAGAACCGTTTCCTTAGTTTGGTAGTCATGGAACCGGATGATGACAAGCCGTAGTTTCTCGCCTTGTTTAGGTTTTGGGGCCAGGGACCTGTGTGCTCGATCCAGCACAGGTGATGTCGGTAGTATTTCCTTGCCCAGAAGTTAGGAAAGCAGTGCAAAACAAATTAAAACATTTATTTTCATAGGTGCACAAGGCTTTAAATAGACATAGCCACTAGACATGCACACCAGAAAGGTATCAGCAATAATTGGGGGCACAATAAATGACATGTCACTTATTCAGTTCACATCCCACTTGATCACACATTATTGGCAATAACCATAAATCAAAACAAAAACAATCATCATGTAAACCAACTGGATGGAGTGAATTTTGTGTCTTTACTATTCAACTAATCAAAAAAAGATTTGTTACCTAAAAAGCTTGCTTGAAAATCAGTCCTCTTTGCTTGCAAGTCCGAAAGTTTTGCTTGCGAATTCTAAAGTTTTGCTTGCGAATCTAACTGAAGAAAATGGGTGGGGTCGCTGCTGGTCAATGGGACAAGAGTTCTTATTGGTTTGTTTGATCTTGCTCCACCGCCAGTCTTCCTCACTCACTTCTTCTGTGTTGCTGCTGCTGCAGAAGGTAAGTTGATAGCCCGTTGCCCACAAATAAATTGAGCTGAATATTTTAGGCTATGTAGTGTCTGGCAACTCATGTCAGTATGCGTGCAACTATGCGTGATGACGTCAGAGTATGTGACATGTATGGAAGGAGGAAGAGAAGTAAATAAAAGAATGCGATGACTGTCTGAGTGAGTACGAGAATTAATGTCAAAAAGAAGTGAGAAACATCACAAATGGAGAGGAAAATCTAAAATGGTACACAGAAAAAGCAGAACCAGGTGAAACTAAAATTGAATTTGACTAGGAGGAAGAAGAAAAGTGAACAGACAGTGAGCATGGCGCTACCGGCGGTAACTCCCTTTGAAGTGTTGGCTAATGTCGGCGCCTGCTGGAAAAGATGGCTAAATAGTTTTGAACTCTATTTGGTTGCATCGGGAATCCGCAACGATGCATGGAAAAGGGCTTTGTTACAACATTTACCAAGAGCTAAAGTCCAAGACATCTTCTTCACTATGGATGACACAACCGACGGTGGCTATGTGCAGTAAACAAGCTGAATGCCTATTTAAGACTGCAGAAAAATATCCCCTATGAGAGACACATAGTTAGAGAAGCTGAACAAACACAAGGAGAGTCCATAGACAGTTTTGATCATGGATTAAAGAAGCTTGCAGATACATGCGAGTTTGGGGACAACAGAGATGATTTCATACATGATCAAGTTATTGACAAATGCTCGTCAAACACACTGCGCAGACGCTTGCTGATGCAAAAAAAGATTTAAAACTCCCAGAACTCCAAGACATTGCAAGAGTGATGGAGATAGTGTTGTGTCGTTCATGAACATTTCGTTCAAAAGTATGGAACTGCTGAGTGAATGACGTGAACTGAATCACTCTGAGACCTGATTTGTTCCTTTTTCAGTTCAGTTGAGCTCAGCCGCGAGTCTGGCATGCCGGTCGGTAGTGGAACTGCCGCCTTTGACTCTTTGGCGAATAACACACAGCCATCCAGCCAGCGGGCAGGCGGAAACTTGTGATTCACTCACAGCGAATGAACTACAGTGCATCCGGTAGTCATACCACTTCAATGAATGAACTTACGGCTGTGCCACTCACTTGTGTACTGCAGCGGCAGGATATGGATCAGAAGCACTGACTGATTCAGTGAATGAATCTTTTGAACGAATCCTTTTAATGAACAGATTCTAAAGATTCTGTACAGTCAAAAGAACTGTTCTCCCCATCACTAGATGGAGACAGCTATTTATTAGGTTGAAAGGATGGAAAAATTAACAGTTAATGCCGTGGAAAAGAAATGGGACGAAAGTAGAATATATCTGCAAGACCCAGATTCTCCAAAACCCAAAGTCAGTCACCACATGATGAACACAGCATCAAGTGTTACAGACATGGATGTACAGGACACATGAGCTGTGAGTGCACAGTGACAAATAACAAAAAGTGCAAGAACTGTGGGAAAGAAAGACATTTTACAAAGATGCGTCGGACAAAGAAAACACATAAAGCAAACAGAGTCACAACCACAGTAAAACACCAAGGACCCAGCGACAGTGAAGATGATCATGTGTTTACGGTAAATGAATGTGCTGCCAAGGGAACACTGTCCATATTAATAAATGACCTACCAGTAGACATGTTGATAGATTCAGGGGCTTTATGTTATATTATAACAGAATCCAAGTTTAAGCAATTGAAGTCAAAAAGTTGCATCACACTACAGCACCGGTGAGGAGAGTCTATCCATTCAGCTCTACAACACCACTCCATGTAAAATGTTTTTTTTTCTAATGAAACATCAGAAACAATCACAGCAACAATTCAAGTGATTGAAGAGGCACAAATCTGTGTGTTAGGCCGACACTGCTGTGAAATTAGGATTTCTACACATCGGCCCTATTGAGCATGTGAACACAGTCTAGCCACAAGACATAAAATCCTTCACAGCCGAGATAGAGGACAATACAAAGGGCTCTATTTTGGTGCCTCGCCGGAGATCTGCCGCAAGCGCAGCGTCAATCAGATCCGCCGCGCTGACAAGGCGTTCCCAAGCACATTTTGGTATTTTGGTGAGCCGCGCAGCCCGGCGTAAGTATCCCCCCTCCCTAACTCAGCTCCTCCCAGCACCATAAGTCGGAGAAAGGTCGTGTAGTGATTTTAACAAAGCCGAGACCTGTTTTCACCAATCACATAAGCTCCTCTCCTTGCCTTTAAATCCGCCACCGGCGAGGCGTATTACTATTTTCATGAAGTAGTCAAAGAGATCAAGAGATGTCTTAAGACAGTAATGCCACAAGATGGCGACAGAGGGCAGCTCCTCAACAAGTGTCCTCCACACTCTCTCATATGAGCACAGATGGATTTAGTGTGCGTAATGTTGGTCCCACTGGTAAGACAAACACCCTTTTCCACAAATAAAGACACTCACATAAAGTTGCTCATATTCAAACCTCACGTGACAAAGGTGGGTTTAGTGCACAGATCACAACATAAACTCCAAAAATGGCATTAAAATTGGAACCATCTGTGCGTAAATGACGCATCGCGCTCCGTGGCCTGGCTCTTTCTTTCATAGATGTTGGCATATAAAATAAATTTGGCTCACAAAACTGAATATTATAATATCCGTATGTCGGCTTAAAGTAGATCACGCATCTGAGCACTGAAACAAATCATCTGTTCAGTCGCAGCAGCAGCAAGACGGACAGAGGACACGGAGACGTGTCCAGGTCGAGCTGCGCGAGAAATAAGAGGAAGAGGAAGAAAGAAAAGGAGGGAGACGAATTACATATCTTGTTAACTTCATCATGTGTGTTTATTTACTAGATATTTAATTTAATTTGATGCGGTTTCAGCTGTGTTGATTCTGTCAGGTTGTGTGTCCAAACGCGTGCCAAACGCGCTCATCAGATCAGATATAGATCAGAATATATCTATATAGATCTAAATATATGTGCTGACTCAGATTAATAGTTGATGATGATTACTTATTGCACTGAAATGTGCCTGACACTGTGGAAACCTGCCGGTGAGGCATCAGTGACGTATGTCGATACGCCGCCGGTCTACCAAAATACTACTAGACCAGCTGCGTTTCGCCTTGCGCTGAAAGCTGACCAGGTTTGAATCGGCGAGCTTTCAGCGCACTTTACACGCCGTTGGCGAGCACGAAAATGTCACTGCGCCAGCTGATTCTGTCAACACCTCCCCCTGCCACACCACCACGCCCAGCTTGGCGGATCTCGGCTCGCCTCCGTGCGGCTCATGCCACGAAAATACCAAATTGGCCTTACGCTGGGCTCCGCCAGACGAAAATACAACTGCGCGGGGCTCGCCGCCCTCCGCCGCCTCACTGGCGCGAACGAAAATAGAGCCCAAAGACTGCTTTCAGGGCTTAGAAAAACTGAAAGACTTTCAGCTAAAGCTGCATGTAGATGACAGTGTACGGCCAGTTTCACAGCCTGTTCGCAGGATACCTTTAGGTGTGAGAAAACAAGTGGAGGAGAAATTGAAACAATTTGAGGAAGCTGGTGTCATTGAGAGGGTAGACGGACCAGCACCTCTGGTTGTGGTACATGGTAAGAAAGAGCCTAGATTGTGTGTGGACATGCACAGAGCAAATGAGGCCATAGTACGAGAAAGGCCCCTCATCCCTGTCATAGACAAATACTGGAGAACATGACAGGAGCCACAGTTTTCTCAAAATTTGATCTGAAGTGGGGATACCATCAAATAGAGTTGGAGCCAGAGTCCAGGTCGCTCACCACTTTTGTAACGCACACAGGGCTATGGGGTTATAAGAGACTGAGGCAGTGGAGGATACACGTCAGCCAACGAATGCTGCTGAGGTGAGGAACTTTTTGGGACTTGTGAACTATTGTGGCAGGTTCATCCCTAATCTAGCCAGAACATCTTTAACACTTACAAGGTAGTCCTGTAAATGGACATGGAATCAGAGCAGGAAACGGCATTTGTGGAGTTAAAGAGACAGCTGGCCAGTTCTTATGTAATGGCATATTTGCCATTTTTAGCCTTTCAGCATAAGGTGACCAGGCGTCCCCGATTTCCGGGGACAGTCCCTGAATTGGATGACCTGTCCCCAGCAAAAGCTGTCACCAAAAATGTCCCAGATTTAAGCGTTTCATGAATGAGAACAAAAATGTTGCGTGTGGGCTTGAACAACGGTTATTACAGTAGCCAAATGGGTAGGAAGCACAAGTAAGCAGTCCCGAACAACAGTTCTTACAGGGGTTATTACAAGGGGCATGCGCTGCTACTAAATAGTACCAAGATTTTGTCTGTGATCACACAGCCCCTGCAGCCTCCCCGTCGCTGCCACCACACCGAATGTCCCCGGATTTTATTACAGACAACTGGGCACCTTACTTTAGCACACATTAGCAAAATGGATAAACCGAAATCCGAACCTCCACTGCTGAGCCAATCAGAGCACAGCAGGCTTCACAGCAGCGATCCAATCAGAGCAAAGCTCATTTCCATAAATATTAATGAGCCAAAATCAGTTGGTTTTCCTGTAAGGTTTTTTAGGCATACTAAAATGGTTTGAAACAAACCACCAAAAAACTTTTCAGCTAAAATTATGTTGCAAACATGATCAGAGGACATCAAGGATTATGAAAAAATGATTAAAATGGGTATGAAATTTTGATGGCAGGTCCCCTTTAAGTAAAATCTTGGAAAAACTTGTTCATAAACAAGTTGGTGATTTTTTTTCAATACAAAGAGCATTTTAGAGAAGTGCCAATCAGGTTTTAGGAGGAACCACAGTACTGAGATAGCCCTTTTGAAAATTTTGAATGATATCAGGTGCAATTTAGATAATCACAAACTCACAGTTTTGGTCCTGCTGGATCTAACCGCAGCCTTTGATACAGTAGACCATCACATTTATTAAATAGACTGAAGCACCTGGTCAGCCTCTCAGGCACTGTTTTTAACTGGTTCACTTCTTATCTCACTGATCGACACTTCTTAGTAAGTATGGATACACATTCCTCACAAACCCATATAATTATGTGTGGGGTTCCCCAAGGGCCAATTTTAGGTCCAACTCTTTTTAATCTTTACATGCTTCCCCTGGGGGACATCATCAGGCATGGCATCAACTTCCACAGTTATGCTGATGATACACGACTGTACATGGCTGTGTCTCCTGATGACAGCGGGCCAATTGATGCCCTTTTAAACTACATTTTGGACATTAAGTCCTGGATGGCAGACAATTTCCTGCAGCTCAACCAGGACAAAACAGAGGTTTTAGTTATTGGTCCTGAAGGCCTGAGAGAGACACTTTTATTAAAACTGCAAGATTTTAAAGTATCCAAATCTGTTAAAAACCTGGGAGTAATTTTCAACTCCAAGCTCAGTTTTATTCCACACATCAAAACATAGCAAAGGTAGGTTTTTACCACCTTAAGAATATAGCCAGAGTCTGTCCGTTTCTCTCCCAGGCCAGCACGGAGGTGCTGATGCATGCTTTTATCTCCTCTCGTTTAGATTATTGTAAT